AATTCATGTGGATTTTTTGTGAAGTGTCTATTCAAATCTTTCGGGTTGTCTTTGATCACTGAGTTGTAATAGGATTCAAAATGGCATAGAAGGTAGAGGCTGTGTACGCCTCTTCTAGCGACCACACCAAAATTTTAACAAAACTACAGAGCAACTATACGTGGAGTCTCCAGAGGTCTCGTTGAACAGAAGCCCTACCACTAGGTCACCTCAAATAAAAGGTCACCTCAAAATAGTATGAGGGGAGGAGACGCAAAACGCCCAGTTCCACAAACGCATCAAGAACTGGGAAGGCAATCTAGGTTGCAAAGCCACCTCCCCCACCTGAGAAGCGAGGGGTCCTGGCCACACACTGGGCTCCCCAGACTATGGTTCCAGTGTTGGGAAGAGAAGTCCCCACAACCTCTGGCTGTGAAAACTAGCGGTGGTTGTAGCTGAATGAGATAGAAGGCTGCGAGAAGCAGAGACCTTCCTTTTAAAGGGCCCATGCCCGGTCTTACTTGCTGATGGACTCATTCACTCTGAGCTCCAGTGCTGGGGCAGCTGCTCGAGGGGTGTTAGGGACATACCAGAAGGTGCTGAACTGTCGGGCTTTAGGGCGAGGCTGGATGGGCTGGCTTGCTCCCGGACAGAGATGAAAGCAGAAGCCACTGTTCCTTTGTTGAGCCCTCCCTGCTCTCAGCCTGCAGAGGGAGATGCCATCAACCTGGAGAACACAGGTTGTTCAGCCCAGGGGATTCCCTGAGACTCCACCTCTCCCAATTTGTGGGCCCACCCAAGCTGCTTCCAGTGATTTATTTCATATAGGCTGTCTTGCCTCCTGTTGCAAATTTTCAAAAAATCTCACAAAGGCTCACAAAACCCAAAGAAGCAGTATCTGGCCTCAGTGCGCCCCATACCTCTTGCTAAGCAGCCCCAAGCCCTACACCAGTGGCAGCTGGCCTTGGTTTCTGACTTGGCCTCTTGAGGCACCTATAAGCCCAGCACAGGGGGTGGAAGCCATACGTGGATTGCCTGGTGACTCTTACCAGTTGGCCCTGGAGGTGCACAGGCTGTGGCTGAACTTGGCCTGCAGCTGGACAATTCCCTCCCCCCCGCCCCAGGACTGTGCCACTGAGCCCCATAGCAAACCTACTAAATAAAGCCACTCCACAAGACCAGGATACTTAGGAGCCCTACCTAATATATAGAAACAGACATAGAGAAGCAGCCCAAATAGGGAGACAAAGAAGCATGCCCCACATTAAAGAACAGAATAAAGCTCCAGAAAAAGAATTCACCAAAATGGAGACAAGCAATCTAACAGATGCAGAGTTCAAAACACTGATTATATAGTTGCTCAAGGAACTTAGGGGAAGAGTAACTCAGTGAAAACTCTAACAGATACACATAAAAATGGAGATGGAAAACATAACAGGGAGCCAGTCAGAAATGAAGAACACATTATCTGAGGTGATGAGTACATTAAAGGGAATCAACAGAGTGGATGAAACGGAGGATCGAATCAGTGACATAGTAGAGGACACCCAATCAGAACAGCAACAAGGAAAAATGCAAAAAATGAAGATAGCTTAAGAAGCCTCTGGGACAATGTCAAGTGTAACAACATTCACATTGCAGAGGTACCAGAAGAGAGCAAGGAATTGAAAACCTATTTGAAGAAATAACGACGGAAAACATTCCTAACCTGAAGGACACAGATGTACAACCCAGGAAGTTCGGAGAGTACCAAACAAGATGAACCCAAAGAGGCCCACACCAAGATACATCACAATTGAAATACCAAAGGTTAAATTCAAAGAGAGAATCTTAAGAGGATTAAGAGAAAAGCAATTAGTTACATACAAGGGATGCCCATAAGACTGTCAAACAATTTCTCAACAGAAACTTTACAGGCCAGAAGGGCTTGGCACAAAATAGTCAACATGATGAAAACCCAGGACCTACAACTAAGATTACTTTACCCAGCGAAGTTATCATTTAGAATAGAAGGACAGAAAACGAGCTTCCTAGGCAAGAAAAAGCTGAAGGAGTTCACCATCATCAAGCTGGTATTATAGGAAATGTTGGAAGACTTCTTTATGAAAAAGAAAAAAATATATAACAAAAGTCTAAATAAAGAATGGCAATAACTACTCATCTATCAACGAGTACTTCAAATGAAAAAAAATTAAATGTTCTAATCAAAAGATAGTATGGCTGAACGGATAAGAAAACAAGACCCTTACATGTGCTGACTCACTTCAGATTAAAAGACACATACAGATTAAAAGGGGATGGAAAAGATATTTCATGATGGACCTAGAGGGTAGTGTACTGAGGGGAGTAAGTCAAATAGAGGAAGACAAATGCCATATGATTGCATGTATACATAGAATCTAAAGAACGAAACAAACAGAAACAAACTCACAGATACAGAGAACATTTTAAGGGTTATCAGATGGGAGGTAGGTTGGGGAGTTGGTGAAAAAGAAGGAAGGGATTAAAAAGTAAAAATTGGTAGTTACAAAACAGTCGCAGAGATAGAAAGTATAGCATAAAGAATATAGCCAATAATATTATAATAACTATGTATGGTGTCAGAGGAGCACTAGATTTATTAGCATGATCACTTTGTGAGTTATACAGATGTCTAATCACTGTGCTGCACACCTGAAACTAATATAGTACTGGATGCCAAATGAAAAATAAAAAATGATAATAAAAATAAGTTCACTGATATATTTTAGATACAGATATTTTCTCTTGGTCTGTGGCTTCTCTTTCCATTTTCTTAGCTGTAGGTTTTGAAGAGGTTTTACTACTACTAAATTTATTAATACAATTAATCAATTTCTCTTTAATAGTTAAATACATTTGTATCCTGTCTTAAAATCTTTGCCTATATAGACCAAGGTCATGAAGATTTTCTCTTGAGGTCCTTTTGGGTAATTCTATAGTTCCAACTTTTATGTTTAGGTCTATGATCTATGATGTGGTATAAGGCTAAGTCTGAAGATCATCCAGGACCATTTGTTCAAAAGGCTGTGCCCATTGAATTATGTTGGAACATTTGCTGAAAAATAAATGACCATATACATGAGTTTACCTCTAGATTCTCTACTCTTTTGTCTCTCTATACATCAATACTATTCTGTCTTAGTTATTATAGCTTTATAGTAAGTCTTTCTATATAGACAATGATGTTGTCTGAGAATAGAGATAGTTTCGCTTTTTCCTTTCCAATATTTACTACCTTACTGCCTATTGTACTGGCTAGGATCTCCAGAACAATATCAAATAGAAGTGGTGAGTTAAAAAATCCTTCCCTTATATTTGATTTTAGAGCAAAAGTACTCAGTCTTTCACCATAAAATATAATGACAGCTGTAGGGCTTTTAGTAGATGCCCTTTATCAGATTGAGAAAGTTCTTGTGTATTTCTAGTTTGCTGAGAGTTCTTAAAAATCTCATATGGTTGTTTAATTTTGTCAAATACTTATCCTGCATCTGTCGAGATGACCACATAATTTTTACCCTTTATTTTGTTAATGTGGTAGATTAAGGGTAAGAGAATTGAAATTCATATCAGAAAAGGGAAATTTAGTGTTTAAAATTTATGAATGATGAATTCACTATATATTCATTTATAAATATGGAGGTAAATAACAGAAAAAATAAACTAAAAAATTGATTGTCTCTGAGGAATAGGCCTAGTTGGGATTGGAAACTGATATTTTTAAAAAGCCTTTTAGGCAGTGACACTTTAAATATGAAAATTAACATATAATATTGCTATCAAAGTTTAAAACAATTAAAAATGGGTTCTAGGGAGACGTGACAATAAGGCTGGGGCTGATTACTGTGTGCTAAGGCAAAGGTGTAGAGGAGATGAACTCGGCTTTAGGCACAGGTTGTTTCAGTGGAGCACCCAGAAGATATTCCCTGTGCAGATGGATATATGTGGCAGTGAAGAGGTAGGAGTTGAAAATAACAGTTTGGGAATAAGCATCAGATAAAGGTTTTAAAGCCACAGAGTGGATAAAACTGAGGATATACAGAGTGAGAAAAGGGCCAGCATTTTGAGAAAGACCAGCATGTATGGGGTGAGGAGAAGGATGCCAAGGAGGAGACGGAGAAGAGAACCAGACGGAGAAGAGAAGAGGAAGGGCAGGAAGAAAACCAGCCAACTATGACACAGAAGTCAAGGGAGGAAAGTGTTTCATTCCTCCAATGCTGAATTCTAAAGATTTTGTGTTATCAACAAACGTTCAAGCTATCGTTTTCTTTTATCAGTGTATCTCCCTAATTTCACGGTGAAATTTGGGAAATTGATAAAACCTTAAACAACATAAATGTAATGATGGAAAATAGAGAATATACCCATATTTTTTATGTTGCTATTTATGTGTTCTATTTCAGGAAACATCTGGAACAGAAAGTGTGAGGTAAAAAACTTCCACTGCTTATCTTAACTGACGAAAGGGGTCAAGAAGAAAACAATCAACATAAATCATAGACACAAGATAAAATTGGTTGAATATCTATGTCATTTAGATAGGATATTTGAAGACTAGAAAGTGGAAAAATTGTAGAAAATGCCTAAATACTTTTTATTTAACAGAGTAAACAGGTGTGATGATTCAGCAGTAATGAGTCAGTTAGAAATAATAAAACTATTAGTTTGCCTGGAAAACACAGGCACTCTCCGGTGGATGACTCAGTATGGAAAATTATCCCAAGAGAACAATGTAGCAGAACACAAAAACATACCATAGAACTACTTGTAGAGAAAAAAAGAGACTTGGATTTGTTGTATTCATTTCAAAAATAGGTGAGAAAATAAGTTAAGAAATCTCTTAGAAGGGAAGAGTTTTCTGCTGCTCAAAGAAATTGTATACATGAATATGAAAGAACAATTACAGCTTTAGGTTTAGGGCTAATGTCTTAAAGAGACTTAGAACATGTCAGCAACAGGCCTGATTTGAGCATGTGGGAACTAGGAAGTGCTTAAAAACTTACTTTTATTTTTACTCCAGTGGAGAAACAGGGGAAAAGCGCCAGGTGGGCGGGCAGTCAGGAGCTACTCGTCCCAGCTTCTGCGTCGGCACTGACCAAGCGAGCAAGTTGGTCAAGTCACTTCCCTCACTGAGATTTCACCTTCTCTTCTGGAAGAATAGGATGAAAGACGGCTCTGGGGTCTAGGGAACACGAGAAACGCAAAAATTGTTTTCTTGGTTTGAATTAGAAAAAAGCTATATTTTATTTTGTATCATTTGATGTGGGAAGCACAGTGAACTGGTTATTAATTTTTAATGCATGCCATTTGCAAAGCTACTGATTTACCTGAGTATTGGCTCTGAAAGGAAAATCTGGGGGTTAAACTTTTACCATTTTATAATTTTTAAAAATTCTCCATTATATAATCCAAAACACCAATAATAGTTGTCTGCTGGTATTTTAAGTATCTTTAATTCACATATTTCCTTATTCTTATTTTTGAGGAGATCATGTAAAAAAAATCATATTCTATATATAAAAGTCATTTGGAGAGTTTAGAAGAACATATATACAATATAGTTTAATAAACACTTAAGTACCACTATCAGCCAGATATTCTTCAAGATGAAGAAACTATGAATTCTATGATTTTGCCTCAAGCAGCTTACAATGTAAGTGGGCAGAAGCCTGGGTCAAGGGCACAGTTGCCTGAATGGGATGAGAACAGGAAAAAATCCCAAAGGATGGCATGAATGGCAGAAAGCTAGGGGAGGGGCCTGGAACTATCTTCAATGCAGCTTGAATTTGACAGATCAAAGCGGCTGTTTTTTTTAACAACTATTTTAATATTTATAAAAGTAATGACTGTAGAAATAAGACATGCCTGCAGAGAGAGGAGGAGGAAGGGAGAGACAGGGAGAGAGCCCACATAGGCAAGCGAGAGTAACAAATATCACACCTAGAGATCACACCTAGAGTATTATGTAACTATTTTTGTAAATGTCCTTTTTGGCTTTAAAAACACACATACACAGACATGGGGATTTTTGTGAATATTTATCTTATAACAAAAGATTTAATTACAGTTTATTACCTTCTTTTTCCACTTTCCACACGAATAAAAATCTACATCATATATCTTATATACAACATGTGGATATACCAAATTTACTTATTCAATTCTCTACTAAGGTACATTATTAGGGTATATAATAAGTAAGGTGCAGAAAGGAAGCAAGGAGCAAGCAAATGATAAAAACTGACTTTAGCTATGGCAGCATTTTGAATATTCTAAAGGGGGAAAGAGGTAAGACATGTGAAAGCTCATGAGATTTTAGTGTTCCAGACATAAGATGAATAATGTCTGAATCTAGAATTCTTTGTGGATGAATAGGAATTTCCAAAGCAGAGGGAAAAAGACTGCAACCCAACTCACACTAAAAATGAAGTAATTTCAAATCTTCACATCTGCAAAACAGATAGAATGTCAAAGGAAGCACTCAGACAACTAAAAACTGTGGGTGGACTGCCAGGGAAAAACCAAGTGCCATTCTAATGATAATCCATAACCACAGCTTTCCAAGGAAGTGAGAGAGCTCTCCAAATTTTGCTCTAACAGAAAGCACACTGAGCTTTTGTGAGAGGCCAGGTAGCCTTTAGGACTTCACACATTTTTTCTCGGCCTCTGTAGTTTGGGCAGGTTCTGTGAGTTACAAACTGGGCCTGTCAGAGTTCCCTTGGAAGCTGCCAATACTAGGCATTTCCCACTGCAACCAGAAGAGCTCTGCTTTTATCTGTTTTATATATTAGATCTCCAAAAATATTTCATTTGAAAAAACAGGGTTCCACAGCTAAACAGTATTCTTAAAACCACAGGATTTTTATTTTTTTTTTAAATGCCAGGTTTTTTTTTCATATTATATATACATAAATTTTTTTAACATTTTTATTTTTTTTATTTTCCCCCTCCCCACTCCCTTTCAGTAACCACTAGTCCACTGTCTATGTCGATGAGTCTATGTTTGTCCTGTTCATTTGTTGCTTTTAGGTTTATATCCCACATATGTGATATCATGTGATTTTCAACCTTTTCTGTCTGGCTTATTTCACTTAGTATGATTATTTCAAGGTCCATCTATGTTGTTGCAAATGGCAGTATTTCATCTCTTCTTATGGCTGAGTAATATTCCATTGTCCCACTGCTTCTTTAGCCAATCATCTATTGTAGGACACTTTGGTTGCTTCCATGTCTTGGCCACTGTGAATAATGCTGCTATGAACATGAGTGTGCAAATATCTTTTTGAATAGGAGTTTTTAAGTCTTTGGGGTAAATACCCAGTAGAGGGATTGCTGGATCATATGGTAGGTCAATTCTTAGTTTTTTGAGGAACCTCCATACCACTTTCCATAGTGGCCGTACCAATTTGCAGTCCCACCGTTTTCTCTGCATCCTCTCCAACATTTGTTATTGCTTGTCCTGTTGATTATAGCTATTCTAACAGGTGTGAGATGGTATCTCATTGTGATAAAACCACAGAATTTTTAAAAATATCATTCACCCTTCAGATTATTTAATCACAAAGGTAAAAATGAAAATTTATAATGGAGGGATCTGAAAGTCACCACCTTAACACCTTAGTAAAATTTTACATCACTAATGGTGGGGCAATTAGATAACAGGTATCTCTCAATATGATGAAATATGAAGATCGAAGTATCATTTATGGAATTTTCTCGTCAAAAATATTTAGCTTTTAGTCAATATTTTAGAGCTAATGTCCAATTGCAGGAAATAGAGAAATAAGTTAAACAACATCATGAGGAAAGAGAAATTTATGATATGGATCATTCTATAAGATAATTAGCTTGGTCTCTTCAATAAGATAGTATCATGAGGGATAAAGTATGTGTTTGGAGGCTGGTTAGGGGAGGAAAATGGAAGGAACACCAACGACAAAGGCTCGGAGGTGGAAGCATGTTTCAGCAAGAGTGAGGACAGCAGCGTGACTAGATTTGGACTTTTATTGAGGTGGGAAGCTACTGAAGAATTTTGAACAGAAAAATGACATGATCAGACTTACTTTTTAACAAGATCATTCTGCTTGCTGTGATGAGAACAGACTACAGGGAACAAGAGTGGAAACAGGGAGACCCAAAGAATGTAAAAAGGGGGACAAATTTGCCTGGAATAGTCAAGGCAAAAGATGATGCTGCTTTGGATCTGGCACGAGCCTGGGGAAGGTGAGAAGTAGTTAGATTCTGGATATATTTTGAAATGAGCCAATGGGACTGATGTGTGTGTTTTGTGGAAAAGAGGGTGGTCAAGGATAAATAAATCTAAGGGTTGGTTTTTAAAAATTGTCATTTTGTTTGTCTGTTTTTTGCTTGAACGACTGGAAGAAGGTAATGGATACTGAGACTGGGGAGACTGAAGGAAGAATAGATTTGTTGGTGGGAGAGGAAGTGGTGGTGACAAGGAAGGTCAGTAGTTCAGTTTTGAATGCTACTGTTGACATGCCTGTTAGACATTTCAGTAAAAATGTGCAGAATACTGTTGGAGAATTGAGTCTGGACTCTGGGGGAGAGATTTAGGCTGACACAAATTTGAGTCAAATTTAAAGCCTTGAGACTAGATGAGATCACTGAAGGAGGGAAAACAAATAAAAGAGAAAGAAATATATAGAAATATTCTATAATAAATTTTATTCTATGAGAGTCTATAAAACTCTCTATCTCTAAATAGGAATATGAAAAGAAACATCCACAGGCTGAGCTCCGAGGCATTCAAACATGTAGAGCAGTGCTGTCCAATGGAACCTCCTATGATGATGAATATTTATATGTCTGTGCCATTCACTAGATAGACATTACCTGCATGTGGCAATTGAGCACTTGCAATATGACAGACACAACTGAATAACTGAAAATTTAATTTAAATAGCTACACGTAGCTAGTGGCTACAGTACTGCACAGTGCAGATCTAGAGTTTGGGGAAGTGAAGAGGAAACAGCAGAGATGACTGAACAGAAGTGAACAGAGAGGGAGGAACTGTGAGACGATTCTCCATGGGTCTCTCATGTTTCTGCACACTGCAAGCGAGAAGGTCTAGCAACAGCCCTAGAAGACTTGGTAGTGTCTCCCTGCAAAGCAAAGGGTCACTGTCCAGTATAATAAAGATAATGTTTCCCTCTGGAACCAAGAGAAGGCATGTTTATTGCCCACTATAAAAGATTTAGTTCTTTAAAATAGGTTTCCTTTCTAGTAACATAACCTACTGTGTGCGCAGGTGTATTCTGGCCCCCTTCATATTGCCTCGGAGGTAACTGGAGCTCAGAGAACCATTACAAAAATACTGCTATTCTGGCTACTGATACTGCTGTAAGTAATAAGCTATCTTTTGTCTCTAATCCAGAAGTCTGTTTTTCTACCACTATTCACAAAACTGTGGCAGGCTAACTTGTTAGCTTACAAACACAGTAAAATCTTAGATCCTTCATAGTTCTTGACAAGTATCTTAGGAGCCAAGTGAAGAATTTGTTTCAAGGAGTGGGGAGTGATCAATTTTGCTCCTGAATGTTAAGTCAAATAAGGACTGAGAAATAACAGATGTGGACATGACTAGTAACTGGTAAGGGTGGTTTTAATGGAATTGTGGGGGTGGAAATCTGACTGGCTTCAGTACAAAAGAGAACGGGAAGAGAAATAGCAACAGAACACAGACAACTCTTTCAAGAAGTTTTGCTGTAAAGTTTCAGTGAAATAAGGCAATAGTTAGAGGGGAAAGTGGTGTCAAGGAGGATTATTTTTAAGATGAGAAATAAAATCATATCTTCATATATAGATGATGACTTAGAAGAGAGGACAACTGATATGACTAAGAATTATGAAGCACTCTGATAGGTTAGTTTTCACAGGAACAGGACAGAAAGAACGGTACGTGGATACCACTGCAGGTAGTAGGTAGCGGGGGTGGTGAAAACTTTTTCCCTTGTTTCTTTTCTGAAGTAGGAGGCAAGGTCATCAGTTGAAAGTGAAGAGTGGGGAGGAGTTGGTGAACATGTGAAGAGATTGAAGACATTCACCAGTCATCTAGAGTCAGATGAAACAGAGTATGACTAGGGAAATCTAGTATGGTCGCGAGACAACATTATGGGTCTACCTTAGGTTATGATGATTAATTTAATGCAAGCTCAACAGTA